TGCACCATGTGCAACGGTGCTAGCATTTGATATTGGCAAAGCACCAAGCCTCACAGCAACATGCAAGCCACCATTGTAGGACAAACTGACAGACAAGTTTGTCTCCCTTAGCTGTTTGAAACCTCTCCGCCTTCCCTTTACCTGGATCCCGCGGCTCTGTCTCTGTCTTGTCTCCAGCTCTTCCCCCGCTTCCTGGCCCTTCGGGTGAGGCTCTGTCTCGAGATACTGCCTTGGAAACTCAAGGGGGGTTTGTGATGAGTTGGAGCCGATTCCACCGCAGTGAGTTTGGTTTTTGGTTTTGGTATAAAGCACCATGGGTGGAAGGATAGGAGAGGAAAATGGACACGTTGTGACAACACTGCTAAGGACAGGGCCTGCCGCGGCCTCAAGCACATGAAGAAGCAAAGACGCCAGGCACTGAGCACCGAGCCAGAGGTGACCTTCGTGACGAGCAGGGTCAGAGGACGGACCCCACACCCCACGCGCTGCTGCTGCTGGACCCACGAGGACCAGCTCCTCCCGCACGCGGAAGGGCACCCCTCAACTCCAGATGGGGGAGGAGGGCCTGGCGGTAGGGGTGGGGTGCCCTCAATTCCAGATCAGGAAATGGATGTCATGAAGACCGGTGTCTGTGGCGTCTACCCGCGTCCACGACCTTAGCATGCCATCCCAGTGTGGGATGTTGACTCCTTATGGCAGCCCCATAAGGTGGGTCCCTTGAGTGCTGGGGAGACAGACAGACTGAGGAGCAGGGCAGTGGCTGGGGCCTGGACTTCAAGCCCCACACCCCCAATACAGTTACCGTTTCCGGGAAGGGCACAGGGTGGGGCCTCGGTCACGGTGTGGCAGGCCTGGCTGTGCTGACTGGGCTCCTCAGCGGCAGGGACGGAACGCAGACAAGGAGAAGAAAATGTGACAGACGTGAGCTCACGCACTCAGGAGCACGCACACACGCCAGGTGGCCCACGGGGACCGGCTGGGGAGACCGGGCCTGCGGCCTCCATGAGCCTTTGCCCTCCCCAGGACGTTCTCAGCACGACCTCTCCCTCCCGCTGATGGAGACCACCTTTGGTATGGACGCGGACGATGGCAGTGACAGGGACTCGGTAATGGACTTCACCGCCAGCACCCAGGTAGGCCAGGGTTGCACTGTCTCCTGAGAGGCCGTGTGCACTGTGTGGGAAGGGTGCCTTCCTCCTCAGGGGTCATCGTCTGCCCACCTGCACAGAGCCAGCCCCACCCCACAAGGTGGCTGGCACAACTGCTGTCCGTTTACCTGTCCGTCCTCAGAGTGCGCTCCCTCTCAGCGTCCGGTCACCTGGCAGCTACTGGCCGGGGTTGGCAAAGTCTCTAGAGACCTTTCTGGCCCTGGGAGCCAACAGGGCTGCCAGTCAGCAGAGCAGGGTGTGGAGGGTTATCGGGCCATCCCCACATCCACAGGCCAAGAGCCTGGAAACCCGAGAGCCCTGGAGGCACACTGCTTAAGCACTTGGCTGTTAACCACAAGACTGGTGGTTTGAACCCAGCAGCTGCTCCACAGGA